ATTTAATTTTAAAAACTCTGATTAAAATGGTCTAGTTTAATATTGTGACTATAGTATAAATACAATTCTCTTTACTACGGTATTACTGTATTAGTCTAAAAACATTTATATTGGTACTGCTGATTTGTGTAGGCTTTCTTCTTGCTTATTAAACATTGACAGAAAATCTCTATGAAATAATTATTTCCGATAAATTTACATCTTAATGCAGTAGTCAAAGGGTTAAAGATAATTAATCATAAATATATGAAAATCTAAACAAATTACATACTATTATAGTATGTAAATACTATAATAGTTCTAATGTGATTTTTCTATCAATATTGTAATATTTTGGCTGTACATACATGCACACGAGTCATAGTATAAAAACATTTCCTAAATTATTTCAGAATCTTCCTATTGATCATGATATCGAAGATATATTGTTTTGGTGTACAAAATAAATTATAATTTTACATGCATAATGCAATTAATTAGATTTAATCTTGCACAACATGGACGACGGAGTGTTTTTGGAAACATTTAGAGTGAGAGATGCTCAGATACTTTATTTCTATTTTTATACTWCTAGACTTCTAGTACATTATTGCACGTGATGATTTCCCGAGGCATCCAGCTTCCGAATTCCAACTTCAAATATAATATTATGTTGTTTATTTGTTCCTTTGACAGTGTCCTGTCCGGATATAAACGCTGTTTGAACGGCAATATTTTTAACGCGATTAATGGGCAATTGTCTTTGGACACAAGTACTCAGAAAACTGAGGTCAATATAATGCTAGTGAATAATATTTGACAAATCAATTTCAGGATTGACTGTTATTTTAATGGAAATTTAGAAATTGGTTCGATGAGAATTATTTTGCCTTTCATTTATGTWTTATTTACAATTACCAGGTACCTAACTGATTTAAAATGGTATATTTTTTTTAGTAAATTAGACATGCAAATTGTTCGTACATTATAAATACGTTAATACCCATAATGCGTTCAAATAATTATAATTAGTAATCGTAGTCATATATTAAATAAATCTATTATCTGAAAATTGACTGACAAATAAAGTGAGATATGGCCACACACAGACAATTCGTGATCATGAAATATGAATATGTCATATCTCGCCTATCAACATTTTTGTGTCTGACTTAGTCATAGTGTAATCTTGAATATTTGTTTGTACTTCGTACCATTTTGCATGGCTTCCGCATTTATTTTTTTTGGTGTTTTTAGCAAACCAACACATTGTGTATCTCAGTGGTTTTCTCAAACGAAATTATTTATCTTTTATATTAACACCTAATTTTTCTTACATAACTAATTAACCTTTTTATTCTTCTATTTTTTTATTTTTATGTAGGTTTTCTTATTTTATCACCTAACACTATTATTTTAGAAAGTGTATGACGTCTTGATAAATAATTGACATTGCCTGTCGAAATGACAATAATTATGACCAGCATAAC